TTTGGGTGTGGCCTATCATGCTAATGAGTTCCTGCTGGGCGTGGCCAACTCGGGAGCCAGCCGGAACTCCGTTCCTGTGCGTTCCTGCCCCAAAATAGCCCTGGTTGCCATCTAGGTTTGCTGACCTCCAGGTAGGGGTCCAGCAGTCTCCCGGAATTACACCTGATCTCTAGAGATCAGTTCCCCGGGAGAAAACGGCTGCTGTGGATGGTGGGCCGTATAGTACCACATCCCTGCTGAGCATCCTTCTCTCCCGAAACCTCCACCCTCCCCTGGTTCCACCCCCAGATTGCCAGGAATTTCCCAAACTGGAGTTGGCAACCCTATATGCCATCTTGGCGAGAGAGGGGGAGGACCAGTGTTTCCTCTAAGCTGAGTCAGTGTCAGCTAGCTCACAGTTTTTTTAGTCTCCGGCTCACAGTTTCTTCACTCAGGAAGGAGAGCTCCAGAGCAAACTCATTTATGCAGTAGCCCAATCGCTCGCTCACCACTTGAATGCCGTTAGCTCACAAGGTAGGATTTTTGCTCACAAGACTCCGCAGCTTAGAGGGAGCGTTGGGGAGGAGCTGCCTCTGCCAACAGCACGCTGAAATCTGGCACCTTGCAACCACTGTTCTCTCTAAGCTGAGTTAGTGTGAGCTAGCTCACAGTTTTCTAGCCTCCGGCTTACGCATTTTTCTCTTCGCTCAGGAAGGACGGCTCCAGAGCACACTAATTTCTGCAGTAGCCAAATGGCTCACTCACATCTTTAATGCCAGTAGTTCACAAAGCAGAATTTTTGCTCACAAGACTCCACAGCTTAGAGGGAACATTGCTTGCAACGTGTAATGACGCTTTCCCGATGTCGTGATTTTGCTGCGATGGCTCAAGTGGTTAAGACGCTGAACTGCAGGCTGTGGAAGGTCGGTAGTTCAGCAGTTCGAGACCCGGGTGCCGCATGATGGAGTGAGCTCCCATCTCTAGTTCCAGCTCCTGCCAACCTAGCAGTTCGAAAGCAAGAAATTGCAAGTAGATAAATAGGTACCACTTCGGTGGGAAGGTAACAGCGTTCCGTGCGCCTTGGTGTTTAGTCATGCCGGCCACATGACCACGGAAACGTCTTCGGACAGCACTGGCTCTTCGGCTTTGAAACGGAGATGAGCACTGCAACTCTAGAGTCGGATTCGACTGGCTTTCGAGCAAGGAAAACCTTTACCTTTCTCCTGCCAACCTAGCAGTTCGAAAGCAAGATATTGCAAGTAGAGAAATAGGTACCACTTTGGTGGGAAGGTAACAGCGTTCCGTGCGCCTTGGTATTTAGTCATGCCGGCCATATGAGCACGGAAACGTCTTTGGACAGCGCTGGCTCTTTGGCTTTGAAACGGAGATGAGCACTGCAACTCTAGAGTCGGATTCGACTGGCTTTCGAGCAAGGGAACCTTTACCTTTACTGCTGCTGTTGGTGGCATTCCTCATTCTCGCTCCGCCCATGGAAACCATGGTGATGACGCGGCAGTGCTCCTCTGCGTGATTCGCTACTCAGGTTGTCACGGACTCTGACTCTTAATTGAACCAAGCAGGCCTCACGATTTCGGCAAACAAACGCTTCTCTCTTTCTGTGTCAGCACGGCTCTTATCGTCGTTCCATCCTTGAGAAGGATAATTACGAGTAAATGGCTTCACGCCCAGAACTAAACCTAAGAACAAAACGAGCACAATTGTTTCCATGGGAAAGAGCTAGATCTGAGTCCAGGGGCAACTTAGAGACCAGCAAGATTTTCGGGGTGTGAGCATTTGGAAGTCGGGGCTTCCTTCGTCAGACACCGGAGCTCTGACTCTCGAAAGATCACCCCCCCCCCAAAAAAATTATCTTGTTGGCCTCTAAGCTGTCGCTGGACTCGAATCTCGCTTTTCTACTGGAGAAGAGAAGAAGAAGAGATTGGATATATACCCCACCCTTCTCTCTTATTACCAATCTCTCATGGCGAAGCAGCCCTCTGATTGAAGAGAGTTCAGAAGTATATTTATCCCAGGTGTCTAGTGAATGGCTTGTATACCAGCCAAGGATCACTCACATTGTCTTTTAAGATTTATTAGTTAAAAATCAATCTTATCACTCCTGAAACGATTAACTATAAAAGCGTCACAACCAGTGTTCCCTCTAAGCTGAGTTAGTGTGGGCCAGCTCACAGTTTTTGAGCCTCCGGCTCACACGTTTTTGTCTCAGCTCAGGAAGGAGGGCTCCAGAGCAAACTAATTCATGCCGTAGCCAAATCGCTCGCTCACAACTTTAATGCCGGGAGCTCACAAAGTAGAAGTTTAGCTCACAAGACTCCACAGCATAGAGGGAACATTGAATTCACAGTGATACAAAGACACCTGTGTATGTCCATGAAATTAGAAATAGAAAAATACAAGAAGTGGGACCTGTGGAACTCGCGGGTGGGGGGGATTCCCCACAGCTCCCGGCCTACAGAA